ATTCTACACTATGAACTAATAGCCTCCACAATCTAATTTTGAAACACACAGATGGTTATTTGATTTATAGGAGCAGTAAAAACAATCTGACTCCAGAAAGTAGATTTGCTTTCCTTGAGACTCTTACATGCAGTTAAAGAAACAAGTAATTTAATTACATTTCAGAGATTTGGGCTTTACATCTACTGTTATACTTTTGTCCAAAGTTGTCTGCAAGACTGCTACTGAGCATCTGCTTTTAGATGTTGGGGGTGGGGGCAGGGGGAAAGGAAAATAAAGAAAACAGTACCCAAAGTGTAAAAGCAAAATTAAAACGGCTCAAGGCATAAGTGATATGGCGCAATTTGGGTTGGAATAAATGACCTTTAAGATTCCTTCCAACACAAACCATTCTATAATTCTATGATATTAAATCATATTTTGTAAATTAATTGACACAGCCAGGAATCACTGTGTTCATGAAGTGTGTTTTGCAGGAGTTTTGTGCGTTCAGGTGCATTTCAGTTTTGTTTTAGTATCTGAATCTCAATGTAACTGAAAAGGCTGGAATCTGCAATTAACCTGCTATTCCTCTGTCAACCTAGAGATTTCATTTATATTATCATTGATTTGCAACATCAAATGATTGAATTTCCACTGCTTAAAAACCCAGTATCATTCTAAGACTCAAGGGAAACCATCCCAACCTGGAAAGTGGAGAGCAAGGAATAAATGGTTACAATTATCTAGCCTCTGTGTCTATGTCATACTGTAATTTATAATCTAAAGGCCCTGACAAGTCTTTACTAACAAAGATTACACTAAAGAACTTCATTCTATGGCCAAAATACCATAAGTAGAACTTATAAGTAAAGCTTTTTCCACTCCAAATTTTATTCCTTGAAAGGTATAGATTTGGGCTGACTGGGACAATTCACAATTTGAGGAGAAGGTCCACAAAGGATGTAGTTTTCAGAGAACAAACAGAATGTTTTACAGCTACCTTGTTCATATACCTTTAGCTATCTTAGCGCCAATGTTTTAGAGTACATTGTATTTATGAAGCTCTGGGTTTTTTTTCCAAATAGGCATTGAAATATATAGTTCTGGGGGAATCTAGCAACAATTTACCAGCCTGTATTTCTGAGGACTTTATTACAGTAGCACATAAACGCCTGACATGCTTTCTAGCATCTGATGGCTGGTGATTTCTGTGTAATTTTATGCCACTTATTACCATAGCATTTGACGTCCTCATGACTATTAATGGATTTTGCCTCTTAACAGTACATTGAAATCAGCAAGTATCATTCTTCCTCTTTACAAACAGGGAACTGATGAGAAGCATAGATTAAATGACTTATGTGAAAGCCACAGGATGGCTGTACTGCTGCCAGGAATGAAATCAGGTGCCATGAATGCCATTTCCATCAAGTTTCCCATACATTATACTTTGTGAGAGGTTTTCCTAAAAATAATTGGAGACACTTCCCTCCTTGTAGCATGCAGAACAACTATACACATGATGAGTGCATCTCTAAATAGGAGGCACACTGATAAAAATTGAGTAATGGATACTGTGAAATACTTTGAATGGACAGAAGAGTTAGATTCACCTTTCAGTGACAGCTCTGTATGTGTTAGATAATTAGCCTAAGTTAGTTTTCTCAGCTTCAACCATAGCACTTCCATAGGGTGATTGATCTTACCTATCTTAGACATCATGTGTAAGTCAGGATGAATGCCCTTCTTGAGATCTTATTTCTGCTCATTCACTTGGAGCCTTGTCTAGGCTAGATGTTTAATTTTAGATGAGCTAAAATTTCTGTGAGGTGGTTCACAGTCTAAGCTATTTAGATACCTAAACCTTGGTTTTAAAAATAGCTTAGGGCAGGTGAGTTAGAAGCAGAATCATTGGAACTAAAACAGCTATTGTAAGAGTCACCTAATTTCAGGTGACATTATCTAGGAAGTTGTCTAATCTCTCATTATCTTTGAAAAGACAGGGAACTTGAGCTCTCAGTTCTTATGCAGATGTACAAATCTAAAGAGTAAAGATGAATTGCATCCCATCTCTCCTGTTGATTATAAAAGAAGTCTTCACAGCCTGTGCAACTATAGGCATCATCACTGTGGAAATTAAAACTAAATTAAATGAATTCTACATTAGGTCTCTAGTTAAGAGCTGAAGTAAATCAGTGGGTGTTGTGTGCTGTAATATCCTTAAGTATCTCATTCAAACATATGATCAAAACACATTCATGGGCTCCAAAGATATTTAAGGGCTCCTGAAAATTGATTTGATTAATGGATGTTGGTTACATGAGTCCGGTATGATATGTATGGCTGTGGTGTATAAGGAAAAATGTCTTTAATAGATACGGTCTATCACTATATGCAAATAGTTAATTAATAATTCAGGACAATAATTTTGGTCCTTTACAATTTTTTATAAATGCACCCTTAATATAAAGCGAGTATTTTTTTTTTCACATCTCTGAATAAAGAATATAAATCCACATACATTGTGTAGATTTTGCTATGGCAGCAAACATGTATATGTTCAGCTACTTTGTGTTTCAGTTGGTTGCTGGGTTTTAATTGAGCAGGACACAAGGAAAGAGAAATTGGAAAATGACATAAATGTATCTGGTCTTTGAAGGTAGAAAACTGGCTGGTAACTAGATATCAAGATATGCAAATGAATTTAGCAGGATCTTTTCTGGATCATTTTTCTGGCTGTTATAATACGAAAATCACTGGGGAGGGTGCCATACCGATTTGGAATGAGTCCTGTACTGAACCAGTATAAAATGTTAAATTTGTTGGACAGAAAACAATGTTGCAGGAGGTAAACTGGACATTTTCATTCTGTATCTCTCCCTAACAAGATAAATTAAAAAAAAAAAAAAAAAAAAAAAAAAAAAAAAAAAAAAAGGGAAAATAGAGGAATCTCTTCATGCCCTTTTAGGTGAAGTACATGGCTGGAAAGCATATTCTTTTTTTTTTTTTTTTTTCTATTGAGAATTTTTAATGTAAATGCTGACAGAACCTCAGCTACAGTGTCACTGGTGTTTGCCTTCTTAATGAGAAGCTGTTAACAATCCCACATGCAGCACAAAGTTCCCTCTTAATAGGGTAAGACAATCACCATCCTAACCTTTCAGGTCCAGTCTGCCCTGAAGAAAAATAAGGCTGCTAGAGAGTTTTGGAACTATGGTTACCTATATTTCTATAAAGGCCAGCCAAATGACTCAGAGCACTCAACATGTATATAGTGGAAGGATCAGAAACCTTTCTGAAAACTGAGAGCATCCAACATTAAATACTTATGGCATTACTCTGGGTTCAAGCATAATAACTTCTTGAGCCCCCACATGCAAGGAGGCTGCAGACATATCTTGCACATTTCCCAAAATACTATTATTTTCCAAATACAAGATTCTTAAGTCAGAATTTCATTCATACACTGAAAGATATTTTGAAATCTTGTGGTCCTTTTAGATTTTGTTTCTTTTCAGAGAGTGTTTGGATTTTTTATTAATTTACAAAGTTGATTGTTTAAGTTTGGGTTGATTTTTTTTCTGTGATGCCAACTTTTGTAACTATATGTTATAGTCTTTTAAGAACTCTAATATTATTTTAAGAAGCCAGTTTAACCAGACATGTTATGACAGCATTTGCAGAAGAATCTTCTGAAATGTACCCAAAAGACATAGAGACTTCATTGTAATTTACTATTCTTTTTTCTGTGCTGTGTGTATGAGGTGTTGCCCTAAAGCTTCCATTTTCCTCTAACGATTTCTTTGAAGAGGGGTGTGAATTTGAAAAAGAATTTTTTGTTTGCTATCGTCCCAAAAAAGAGAACAGGATTTTCATGAGCAATTATGGGAAAAAATCTTATGAAGCACTAAATATTGTTGTGAGTGCTGTAACATAAAGTTCTATTTTGTTTTTTTAGCACACCATAAAGTCTACTCGCGGAAAATTCATGCCTACTACCTTCCTCTTTGGCCTTTTGGATTTGCCTGTTTTCTTTGGGGCTGTTAGGACCAAATGCTTTCATTTATTTTCTTCCACAGTAGAGCAGATTTATAGGTGAAACTGAAGCCCGGTTTACAGTGATTATACACCCACTGGTGTGGAACTGCACCAACACAGAACCCTAGAGTGGAGATGTGATTTACATGTACACAGCATGATTTGTACTAGCTCAGCTTATCTCTGGCTGAAAGCAGGGTAAATTAGACATGGGAAAGTTATTGTAGTGATATCAGTCATTTTAGAGCGGGCATTTTTGTCAGTGAGCATACACTGAGCATGTTACTTAATATTGATGTGTGTCCGTGTCCTCATCATTACAATTGAGGCATTTCTGTGGCCTTTTAGGCTATCAGGATGGAATTAAATGAAAATTTAAAAAACTAAAGAAAATTTCATGGGAGACACAGGAAAAAAAATACATCTAGAATTGAAATAAATGCATGTAAGAGAGTTATTCTGCTGATCATTTTAGTGATCAGCTTGCTTTTAAAATAAAGTTGCCCAGGCAAATTTTTACAGCCCTTAAGGTCTAAAACATTACACTGCTTCTAGCTATAGATCCCTGAAGGGGTTTTTTTGTGTGTTCTCATCAATCTATATACAGAATTTTTCATTTCTCTTTTGGACTATTTTTATTATGTTTACAATATTTTATAGTAATATAAGTGTATTTTATGTTACTTACAGAAACAGTCTGCTGTTTTCTTGATTTTAGTATCTCACACATTCTTCTGGTGATGCAAATGGCTGTAAGCCAGAAAATTATGCACGTGATGTGAGTTGGAGCAGAGTGACACCCCATTTAATAACACTGCAGAGTTTTAGACTTTTGACAAATAACCTGAACTTAGCATGTGAGACATTAGGACAATTGACTGGGATAGAGTTGATGTGAGATAGAGACAAACTCAAATTTTTGGGAGTTTTCTTTGCATGCTGCCCAGAGATGAACTCCAGTGTGTTCTGTTGTGTTGCAGTACAATCGCTACCAGCACTATGGGGCCGAGGAATGTGTGCTGCAGATGGGAGGAGTGCTATGTCCAACCCCCGGCTGTGGGGCAGGTCTGCTTCCTGAGCCAGACCTGAGGAGAATCGTGTGTGAACCAGGCAATGGAATAGGCTGTGGGGTAAGAACCTACATTTTCCTTCTAGTGGTGTGGGAAATAATTTATATCGTACAATGAATGCTAAGACAGAGGGAGAGAATGTGGTTGTCTTTTTTATCTTTTCTGTCAGTGACTCTGAATTGCCTTTCCCACCAGAGTGAGTTAATGCAGCTCAATAAACAATTTAAATATAGGGCAATGACTTAGGATAGATGACTTCATCATGTAGAATGTGTCCATTCTATAATTCTTTGCTTTATTTGGTTTAAGAAGTTGCTGAATAGTTGCAGTAAGAAATTGAACTGTACAAATGAAAATCCAAATGCACTCTGATTTTCTTCTCCTAGAACTCAGCAAAAATGAACAGAATCTTAAGCAAATCATTCATTATCATATTAGTATTTTTTACAGAAAAAGGAGAGCTAGAATAACCTTTTTAATGACACTGTAGTGATATTGCTTGTGCACATTAAAATACATGATGAAAATAAATATAGAAAATATTTGTTTACTCATAAAAATTTCTTTTAAGCAAGGAGAATGAACAATTAATGGTGGATTTATGGAAATCAAAATCAGATGAAACTTGAAAATACTTTTGCTAAGAAATCACATCATATGGACCATCAACATTTTTGGCAGTAGAAAAAAAGCAAGTAGTTGACAAGACTCAAGCTTTGTGGGAAACAGATGTACATAGAGATAAATCTATATATAACAGAACCTATTAAATGTTCAGTTGTAAAGACGTTTATTTGTATTCCATTGACAGATTCAAGCGAGATCTCTTTGGTTGCTCTTGGGGGATGAAGTTTATTCAGGACGCAGAGAGGCTCTGCCTCGAGCTGCCAGACACAGCACGTGGCTGGGCCTCGGGTGATGGGGGAGGGGAGAGATAAAGAGGGGAGCAGGGACTCCCGGAGGACGCTCCAGGAGGAGAAGGGAAGATCCAAGAGAACGTCCAGCCCCCCGGAGAGCCTTTATCAAAGGGGGCTCCAGGGTGGGCTGGAACAGGACCTGGGCCAATGGGGTCACAGGCACCTGATGGTTCAGGGGAGGGTTGCAGATGTGGGGTGAACCATACATTCTGGGGGTTGAGATGGAACAATCCATTTGGCTTTTGGACCCCGCTGTAGGTGAGGGCAATTGTCCAGCCAGTAGGGGGCGTTATATTCGTCCTGGCTGTACCATTGTGGTTCTTAATCATATTTATCTACCCTTCCCAACATCTCCCCTTTTTTCACTGAACCATTTGAAATATTAAATATTGACTTAACAACTATTTTCTGCGCACTTGGAGGTGTACAGGATATTGTTACTAGAACTATACTTATTACTACTGGAACAGTCAAGCTTATTTTACAGAGTTCCTTTAGCCAAGGTGCAAGGCTCAAACCATTAAGTCAACTGTGTAGCTGAGATGGCTTTATTGTTATTAAATCACTGATTATAGTAGGGGAGGCATTGTCAGAATTTTTTTGGAAAAGGTCTTATAATTAAACGGGTTGAAAAAGGTTTGTTAGGGTTTGTGTTAGATATATAGGTGGTCTTAGAGCTTGTAGGCTTGGCTAAAGCTACTCGGCATTTGTCCTTGGTTGAATTACAAGTAAAACTTCAATATAAAAACTGAAACGGAAGAACAAAAGCAACATGCACGCATATAAACGATAAAAGGTCCATTTTTCTCTCGATGACGCAGCGTGGTTCAGGTCTGGGTGCTGGCTTCTTGGCTTGTACTTGCAGAAGTACTGTCTGGTGTGGGGGTGTCAGCGGATTTCGGTGCATGGTAAGGCTTTACGTTCTTTCCTGGGACCCACTTAAGTCATCCACCTGTGGAAACACAAGAAAAACCTTTTCCCCACGTTAGAAGACTGTGTGGACCTTGTATATGTTCTGAATCTGAGATTTTGAGTAAAGCTGGGGGGTGCCCTTTTATTTTTACTTTTTTGGTGTTCAGGAAATGTCTATAAATTTGGAGGCGAGGCTCTCCTGCAGAGCTACTTAGAAAATTGTGAGCATATAAAGCCTTATTAAACCTCTTCTGAGGTGTAGCCTGATCTACTCCCCCTTTCTTTAGATTTAAGATGTGTTTTAGGGTTTGGCGTGTTTTTTCTATGGTACCTTTTAACAGTGGTGTAAAATAGGAAAAGGAGATACCACTGTCCTTGAGTACTGTCAGGACTTCTTTCACCTCTTGAGAGGGGACAGCTGTTCGCTGGCTGGGTACCACTTGCATGGCTTGGGAATGCAGGTTGTCTTCTTTGCGGTTATCACATTTGATTTCAGGGAAGTTTGTCAGTAGAAGATTGTTGGCACTGTGCTGAGAATTTGGTGAGATGTGGATAGAAAGTTTAGGGTTTGCAGGGGTAAGATAGTTCTCTGTCTGTCCTTTGTTCGTAGAAGCTGCAGTCACATTGTTGCGTTCACCTTGTCAAGGCATAGTGTCTCCGTCAGGGTGCGGTGAGGAGCTGCTAGTGTGGGAGGCAGGGGCTGCTGCCAGCTGAGACAGAGGAGCAGGAGGGGTGGAGGTCGTGGGCAGCAGCACCTGTGGGGAACTGGGATTTGTGGAAGGATTTCCTATAGCTGTGGCATTGGGTGCTGCGGCAGTCTGTAGAGCCGGTAGAGGGAAGGATGCGGAGGGATATGGTGATGTGTTTGGCAAACCAGGAAGTGGTGACGGCGGTGGGGGGTTCCGGGGCTTTGTAGCCAGAGGCAGGGGCTGCGTCGCCGCGGGGGGGTGGGGGGTTGGGGACGCCGGGTTTGCGTCTGCCGGGGGGGCCGGCCGCGAGTCCAGGAGGCGGGCGGGCAGCGGGGGTGCGGCGCCGGGTTCCGGGACATCTCTAGGAAGGATGGGTGGTGCGGCCGCGGGGGCGGGGGCGGGGTCCGGGCCGCGCGAGAAGGAGGCGGCGGCCGCGGGGGCGGGGGCGGGGTCCGGGCCGCGCGAGGGAGAGGAGGTGGAAGCAGGGGCGTGGTCTGGGCCGCGCGGGGGGAGGCGGCGGCCGCGGGGGCGGGGTCCGCCCGGCCCGGAGCCGGCGCCTGGCTGGCATGGTCGCTGGGCCAGGGGGCTTCCGGGCGGGTCGGTTGGGCGGCCGCGGAGGCGAGCGTGTGCAGCGCTTGCAAAATCGCAGCTGACTTTTGAGACTGTGCTTGCAAAATAGCCATTGACTGGGTTTGTGCTTGCAAAATGGCTGTTGTTTGATTTTGTAAAAGTTCGGCTATCGTAGCCATCATAGCCGGGACAGGCAATGCTGGGGGGGCGGGCGGGGGGGAGGCGGGGCACGCGGAGTGGTTTGGGGGGGAGGAGGTGGCCGCAAGGGCGGGTTCTGGGTTGCGGGGGAGGAAGGGCGCGGCTGCGGCACGGAGCGCCGCTCGCTCAGAAACCGCCGAGTCGCCAGCCGCCTTGCCGGCATTTTCGCCGCAGCGCGGGGTTGGGGGGCGGTCCGGCGGGGATAGTTGAGCCACGGCAGGGAGCGGTTTGGCTGCTATCAGCGGCTTTTGAGAAGCGCAGAGCTCTGCTAACACTCTATAAGCAGGAAGTAACTCGCAAGCATAGGGGTCCCGTAGTGAAATGTCATTAAAAAGTTGATGCCCCACGGACTCCCAAAAGTCTCCACAAAACACAGCAGAGCGCTCGGCATTTGGGAACTTAAGTAAGATCCATTCTAGGAGTTTCCGTAGCTCTTTTTTGGCAAATTACTGTTATGGCTACGTAATAAGTGGTTAAGTTGCTTATCGAGATCTTGATCAGATGTAGAGTGGGATTGTCCCATTTTTAAACCAGTGTGGCTCACCTCGGTGTCGCAGGAGCGGGGTCCTCTGTCAGGTTCCGACGTTTACTGCAGTCGGTGCTGAGGGCTCACCGCGGGGTTTCTTCAGAGCTTCAGCGCGGGCAGTGCTAAGCAGTGCTCGCCTGTGCTTTGTGCACGTGGCCGCGTGCCACGGCAAGTCTCGTCACAAAGCCTTGGGTCGCCGCGGAATCGCGGCGATCGCCTGTGCTCGGAGAATAACGGCCAGAAATTCTAGAAGGGCTCTAAAAACTCGCTACTATGTAACGAGTAGCTGAGCTGTAGGATGGCTTCGGGACTTTTTAAAGAACTCCGGTTTGTCACTGCCTAGCAGCAAAATGCCGTGCTCGCGACCGCGATGGGGAGGAAATACCTGGTTATTTAGTTAGTGTCCATGGAAAGGTGTCCTACAGGTAGAAAAGCTGGAAAGCATCCAGACGGGTGCAGTTGCAGGTCACCGTGGGTTCGTATTCGAAGATGGGCGCCAGTCTGTAATGACGTTTATTTGTATTCCATGGACAGATTCAAGCGAGATCTCTTTGGTTGCTCTTGGGGGATGAAGTTTATTCAGGACGCAGAGAGGCTCTGCCTCGAGCTGCCAGACACAGCACGTGGCTGGGCCTCGGGTGATGGGGGAGGGGAGAGACAAAGAGGGGAGCAGGGACTCCCGGAGGACGCTCCAGGAGGAGAAGGGAAGATCCAAGAGAACGTCCAGCCCCCTGGAGAGCCTTTATCAAAGGGGGCTCCAGGGTGGGCTGGAACAGGACCTGGGCCAATGGGGTCACAGGCACCTGATGGTTCAGGGGAGGGTTACAGATGTGGGGTGAACCATACATTCTGGGGGGTGAGATGGAACAATCCATTTGGCTTTTGGACCCCGCTGTAGGTGAGGGTAATTGTCCAGCCAGTAGGGGGCGTTATATTCGTCCTGGCTGTACCATTGTGGTTCTTAATCATATTTATCTACCCTTCCCAACATTCAGTCAGAGTGACCAACTGGTGTTCGCACTATGTGACTCTTTCCATAGTTGGGATTACAGCAGAATTCCACGAACACTATGAGAGAAGATAAAATATATGTATTTTTCAAATACTTGGGTGCCCTTTCTGTTGTCTTTCTTGTGGAAAATGCACTTTTTAGTACAGTTCTGATATTGCCTAAACTGATACTCTAGAAGAATAACAGTTTGATGAACTAGGAAGTCACAGTAACTTGTCTTCTTTGAGTAGGTTAGC